TCAACCTTTGAAATGATTTTAAATGTTTTAAACACTTTATGGGGGGGATACAAGTCAAATACTTATAGTTATTGCTTCAGTCACATGTGATTTCATTTAATCACATGTGATTAATAACTAGGAAAACAACGATTTTTACCAATGTTCAAACTGTTTATCAAACTGTTTCACTTCAAATGTTTTACAAACTCTTTTTACTTATCAAATGCTTTTATTAAACTTTGTTTTACTCCTTATAAATTGCATGCCCATATATGTATATATATATAAGTAATGTTTAAAGGGCTTAGGAAAGCCATCCGCCCTATTTCCTTTTCGCGCACTGAGATGTGGTCTGGTGGGACTTCGGGTGACCATCCGAAGGTTGTTTCAACATTAGTTATATATCATATATACATGTATAGACATAAAACTACTTCCATATTCATATTTATCAGTACATCAATAGTTAGTTACCATCGGGGTAACACCATACATATACATATACTAGAAACAATACATATACAATGATGCTAGAAACAATACATATACATATACTAGAAACAATACATATACAATGATGCTAGAAACAATACATATACATATACTAGAAACAATACATATACATATACTAGAAACAATACATATACATATACTAGAAACAATACATATACAATGATGCTAGAAACAATACATATACATATACTAGAAACAATACATATACAATGATGCTAGAAACAATACATATACATATACTAGAAACAATACATATACAATGATGCTAGAAACAATACATATACATATACTAGAACAAGAAACAGTACATATACATGAATACTTTATTATTGTGATTTAAATCGGAGCATGACTTAACTGTCATGGCTCGAGTTGTAGCCAGAATTCTCTTGAAGGGAGAGCGTGAGTTTGCGTATAGATCTATACTGGATTGACAATCCTACACCTTGCTGCTAGCTACAGCCGGACCTGCAGGTCTGCGGGTGCCAAACGTCATTCCGTTATTACGACCATTCATTTGTCGTTGTTACTAGTCAATAGTATGGTGCAATTTATCACGTAATGCCTTAATATAAATCCGGTTTAAGGTAGTTAGTACCACAGTAGTTCTTATAATACAAGGATACAGTACTACATTAATTTACCCATTACATATTTTTAGTGATAACCTCACTTAAACATTTATGTACAAACTATATTTTGTTAAATGATAGTTACATTTGGGAAATTACACACTTTTACATCAAACGAACATACCAAAACAGTTAAGCCTTGGTAGAAGGCTTCTTTAATAGAAAATATAGGTTTTTCTGAGAGATTCAAACTTTTACAAACAATTGCAAACTTTTACATACATTTTACAAACTTATACTTGATACATGTTCAAACATTTTTGAATGACAAATACAGACACTAAAATACTTATGAACTCACCAGCTTAATGCTGATAAACTCTTTCAAAATAACTTGTATTCTCAGGTCGTCAGTAGACAAGTACCGAGGCCAGCTTTTGAGAAGATGGAGCGCATTCAAGACTCATCTTATTATTTTGATATACGTTATTTTTGGTGTCTACAATGTACAGAACACACTTGTATTAAAATTATATATTTAATGCAATGGATGATGTTGTTTGCTTATTTACATTTACTGTGTTGTGATACTTACATGACGTCCTCTGCCCCAGAACGTTTCCGCCGTTCTTGGTTTTGGGGTGTGACAAACATATACAATATGATACACCAACTATATCGACAAAAAATAAGAGCAAGTATGTCTTCGATAACAATGCCTACTTATTAACTGCACACTCCTTCCCAACACGACTTAAAATAATGTTTCCGAACTTGGAAAACCAAGAGAACTCAAACCATTGGGGAAGCTAGATGTCATAGCCTTAACAAATGTGTTTTTGTGGAAACTTACTTTAAACACATGATCTACCATTTTCAAACGGGCAAGGGTATCACTGATAAAGAAATTTGAAAAAACATACATATTTCCCTCATTTAACAATCTCTAACACATCCGAATTAGAACCTTCTTGATAGTGATAGTGATACAGTTTCCCTAAAATTATCATACAAATGCTCAATTTCAATGCAAACAAAAGCAAGAAAACTCCGCTATGACAAGTTGATACCGTGTTGTCCATTAAGAGCATACCAACACTCCTTAGTTCAAACAACTTCAAATGAACATGTTGCTTCCATAAACAAACAACTAGGTCTTTGAACTTTCATTCGTCAACATTAATATTGACATCACTAATCAAATTATATTGTGAACCTATCTAAAATACTACTACAGTTTCAACAATTATATCTACAAGACTAAACTGCACAAATGGTCCCCGTGGTTTGCTTAAAATTGACACTTTGGTCCAAAAAGGTTTGTACTAGCACCACAGGTCAAAAGTTTTCATTTTGTTGCTAGTTTTGTCCAATTTACTTTGAATTTTTTCATAATGACGATTTTTCCCTTGCTTGTTTCTTTTTTAGTTTTTTATTTATTTAAATATTTTTTCTGTTTAAAAGAAAAAAATTGCATTTTCTATTTTGTTTATATAACTTTTTTTTATAAAGGAATAAAAATAAACAAATAAATTATGTAATCTCTCTGTCTCTATCTCCGTCTCTTTCTCTCTCTCTCTCTGGCATAAGAGAACAATTCCTTTTTTTCTTTCATCGTAACAAAAAAATCACTCATTTGAATAAAATAATTAATCACCATAGCATGTTCTGCATCCCACCCTTTTATGCCTCGATTCACCGTTCATCATCTACATGCATGCTTTGCTTTTTTGCGACACTTATGTGTAGTTTTGTTGGTTTAGACTAAAAGACTTCAAAAATTAACCCCTTTCCCTTTCGATTTTAGGTTTCACGTCCAAATGAGAATATTACAGAGAGTATAGGGAATCGGAGATCGAGAGATGGGGTTTTTGTGTGTCGATCGAACAAACCCAGAATCGATAGAGAAGAATGAAGATATGAAAGATATAGGGTTTTCTGAGGAAGATAGAAAAAGAGAGAGAAACGGATTTTCCTTTGAGGGTTTTCATATTTGCGTTAGGGTTTCATGACAGTGGTTGCAACACTTATGGTCGAAGGTTTCTTAGTGGGGAAGATGAAGATGATGCTAGGAACCACTCGATCTAGGCAAATACGTCAACAATATTGGTTGCCATATGTCGGAGTCGCCGAAGACATTCTCGTGCCAGATGTCAGAGTCGCCGGAGATGGAGACATGGAGTATGAGCGGTCGGAGATGGAGACATGGCGTATCAACGAGTTTTTTTCTCATCTCACAAAAAACTCTCCCTAATATGATGTATGATGCAGGTGTGTGATGGTGAATAACATTTGAAGCTCTAATTTTGGTGATGAGAGTGTGAGTTGAAGAATATGGGAATGAGAAGAACTGTTTCTTGAGGTTTTTAAGATCGGCGATGAAGGTGCGATTTTTCTGGTCAGCGGTGAAGGTGAGGTTTTTCAGATCGACAACAAAGTTTTTGGGTTTTCCGATCGACGTCTGTGAAGGTTCTTTGGGTAGGTGACGAGACTGGTAAAGGAGAGATGCTTTAGATCCGGTGATGGAGAGGGATGTTCGTGAGTGGCAGAAAAATCTATTTGGAGATGGAGGTGAATGATGGTGGTGGTGACTAATGGTTGTCAAAATCAATGGTTATGAGGTATGTGTTTTGAAGATCGAACCCATAAAATGTTCTTTAGTTTAAGTGTTTATCAAACACAACAAGAGAGAGAGAGAGAGAGAGAGAGAGAGAGAGAGAGATGTCTAACACATATATTCTTTGGTTCAGCCGGCTAAAACGGCTTGTTATTAAATACAATAAGAAACGCGGGTTTGATTCTTCCCAAATCCATGTTTATTTTTGTTAACGTTGGTTTAAATAACTTCATTCTATTATACGTTAATATCGTGGGCTATTTGGCTCCATATAAGATATGGTAAATATTCAAAGTTACAATTTTCGTCTATCCTACATATCAATTTTCTTTACTAAATTAATTCCAAAAAGTTCTAAATTTAGCCATCAACTTTTATAAATTTATACTTGTCATTTTGTTTATTAATTTAATTTATTATATATATTTTTTTCTTTATGACAATTCAACCTTTAATTTAAATTTCATATATATATATATATATATATATATATATATATATATATATATATATATATATAGAATCAAGATCAAATAAGAAGGAAATTTTTGGTAGGAAGGTAAGAAGTTTTTTTTCTACATATTTTTTTCGCGAACAAACAAAATTAATCATTAGATGATTCATTTGTAAGATGATTCACAAGAAAAAATTCTCAAAAAAACATCTCGATGATTTATTTATATAATGATTTTGTTGTTATTAACTAAAATTGTCATAAAAATAAGTTTTTCTTAATTTACTTAATAATGAATCATAAAGATGTTTTTTTGAGAATTTTTTTTGTGAATCATCTTACAAATGAATCATGTAGTTATTTATTTTTTTTGTTCGTCAAAAAAATATGTAGAAAAAAAACTTCTTACCTTCCTACCAAAAAAGATTTCTTACCGGATCTATATCATATATATATATATATATATATATATATATATATATATATATATATATATATATATATATATATATATGACCTATTTTCATTTTTGGTTGTTAGTTAGATATTACGATATGTTATTATTCGTTAAAATACTATGATTTTTCTATGTTTATTACTATAATTTTATTGTCTTTTTTTTAAAAACTTCAGTTATATAATTAATTCATTACAGGGTATAAGGACTTTTTTTTTTCGGTTTTGTCCTGAGCATTTAAATCATCAACACCGGCTCTGAAACTATATCCTAAAAATGTTGTTCCAACGACAATTCAACACAAATATATTCAAGTTATATAAGATATACATTTGTTAAAAAAAGATATTATAATGTTTTTCTAGTAAATATCCAAAATGTTTTTTCTAATTTTTGTTGAGGTTTGAAGAATGTTTTGGTGACAATCATCCATTATTAGCTCTTACACAAACCCCAAGGTTCCCTTTCTCCGGCGTATCCACCGTTTGCATATTCTTGCCTTTTCCTTTATTGCGTGACCTTTTTTCATCATATCAAAACGACCCCCACCACCACCATGTCCACCACTATTGAGTAATGACTAAACCCTCATTTTATAACCTAAACGGAAACTTATTTCGTTACAGAGTTTCAATTCATTCATCTTCATTCTCTCATAGTTAATGCACATTCTTCTGGATCCTTATTCGTCAACACCCATTCACCCAACACATTTTGCCTTTCTAAATGGTTCCAGAAACATTGCTTGGATTTCACTGTTTTCTGGAGTAATTTGTTGATTTAGCGAAGTGGGTTTGTTTTTTTTCCTCCTTTTCGAGCTAATTTTTGAAGGAAACACGCAATCTTCTGTTCAAATACTTCAAAAGTTCGTACTTTTTTGAGTAATTTTAGGTACATTTGAAGAATGGGGATAGCGAACTCAAAAGCAGATGGCTGTGAAGCTTTGCGTTTATGCAAAGAACGAAAGAAATTCATCAAAAAAGCAATCGATTCAAGGTATGATTTTGCAGTTGCTCATCTTGCTTACGTTCAGTCCCTTCGAAGCATTGGCATTGCCCTACGTCGATTTGCAGAGGCCGAAGTGTTGTTAGATGCATCTCCAGCCACAGAAATCGAAAACCCCCAAACTCATTCCTCAAACCCGTCACCTTCTCCGCCACACCTCGGTGGTGTCGACGCCGGTGCTTCAGATGGCAGTCCTGCTCCCCATCAACCTCCTGTTTCAAGTTTAAGTTACATGAGGTCCGGTGGGACTAACGCAGTCACTGTTAGTCTTAATCCATCGAAAATTGATATCAGCACTAGGGTTTATGTAGACGATGTTGATTCCATGTCCTTCACAATGCCGCCACCACCACCACCACCTCCGCCGCCTGAATCAGCCTCCTCTTGGGATTACTTTGATCCTACCGACAATCATGAAAGCTTCAGCTTCGTGGGCCACGATGGATTTCATGTAAATTTCAATAATATGAGTGTGCAGAAACAGTTCCCGATTAACGATTCCATTACAAAGGAAGGATCTATAACACCTCCCGAATCATTAAAAACGGATCATAATGGGCATGATGATGGTATTCCGATTGCTCCCATTTCACCAACAACAGTAGAATCTGACACCGGAAATGATGCAGTTTCTGGAGCTTTGATCTGTAGAACTTCTCAAACAGAATCGAAGGATGATAGTTGTTTAGGTGAGGGAGAAAGCGAGGATCCTTCTGAGTTTATCACACATAGGGCTAAAGATTTTCTTTCAAGCATTAAAGAAATTGAGAGTCGATTCTTTCTAGCATCGGAATCCGGGAAAGAAGTTTCAAGAATGCTTGAAGTAAATAAAATCCAACTTGGCTATTTCGAGGCTAAAGGTATTGCTACATTTTGTGTCTCATTTTTGAAAAAAATAACTCTTTCTTTTATTCTTCAAATTCAATTTTTTAGATTAAATCTCAAAATTGTTGAATGTAGGTAGTTCAACTGCATCAACATTGTTGTGTGGGAATTGTTGTAAAGTAAAACCCGCACATGTTTCACATGGTAAGTATTGTAGCTTCCATTTTCATTTGTGTTGTGAAAAAAGTTTTGTAGCTTTAAAAAATTTCATGTTTCAATTTTGTAGAAACTCCACATGGGCCAAGAATCATTACATGGAATCGATCGATGTCTTCACATTCATCATCATCAAGAAATCCTTTAGCTGCAGCATCAAAAGATGATAATGATGATAGTGGAAGCGATTTCATAGAAGAGTTTTGTATGATTGCAGGAAGTCACTCTTCAACTCTTGATAGACTCTATGCATGGGAAAGAAAGCTCTATGATGAAGTGAAGGTATTTTATTAGATTACACTTAATCGGAAAAAAGAAGAAGGATTAAATGCAAGAAATAACGATTTACTTTCTTGAAATTGTTTATCATAGCAAATTACTTCTGTTTTCTTCCTATTACAACATTGTACCTTGAAAGTACACTATTGTAATAGGAAAAATTGAAAAAAAAAATGAAAGTAGGATGTTATAATTATTTTTTGTTATATCATTCTACTTTTATTTCGTCATTGAACTTAAAAAAATCTACCCAATTTTAGCAATGTCATTCAAATACATAGTAACCTTCAATCTTCATTGCTATAATTGGCTAGATTTTCAAATTATAACATCTCAACAAGAAAGAAAAGTGGAAGTACGATGCTATAATTGGTTAGATTTTTCAAACTATAATGCCTTCATAGGAATTTTTTAGTAGAATAGAATTAAATTAAGCGAAAGTACGTTGCTATTTGTTGTAGGCGAGTGAATCTATAAGGAAGGAGTATGACCGAAAGTGTGATCGGCTTAGACACCAATTTGCAAAAGATCTCAAGAGTCACGTGATCGATAAAACTCGTGCTTTGGTTAAAGATTTGCATTCAAGAATTATCGTTGCATTGCACACCGTTGATTCCATATCAAAACGAATCGAGAAAATGAGAGATGAAGAGCTTCAACCACAACTCTTGGAACTCATTCAAGGGTAAGGATCATTTTCCTTTCCTAATTTTCAAATAAGGAAAATGAAACTAAAAAAGATTTTCTACTCTTTTTATTGTTCAAAAAGCATTTTCCCTAGTTATCAGGAAAATCTCTTTTAATAGCAATCTCTTGTAGGTATTGAACTATTATTTTTTCTCAACTTATCTTTGGTTTTAACAATTGAATCCCCCGTGCAGATTAAATCGTATGTGGAAGGCAATGCTCGAGAGCCATCACACACAATACATAACCATCCAATTAGCCTACCATTTAAAAAATTCAAAAATCAAAAATCATCAACAAGAATCAAAACTACAAATTATATCCGATCTTCAACACGAGATTGAATGTTTCGGTTTAAGTTTTACCAACATGGTCAACACTCAAACCTCATACGTAGAATCAATCAACAACTGGCTCCAAAATTGCATCATACTACCAAAGGAACGTGTAAAGGGTAGACGACCATTTTCGCCTCGAAGAGCCTTAGGCCCTCCGATTTTCGTTATTTGTCGAGATTGGTCCTCCGGGATTCAGACCTTGCCAGCTCAGCAACTGAGTGATGCCATTAAAGGGTTTTTGACGAATCTTCATCAGGATTCGGTGGTGGAGGAGGCTGACCGGAAACCGGAGGAGGGAGAGGAGGTTAATGATGACATGGCGGCTGTGAATTTAGGAACGATGCATTTGAGTTTGACCAAAGTTCTTGATGGGTTGACCAAGTTTTCGGAGGCTTCGTTGAAGATGTATGAAGATATTAAAGAGAAAAGTGAGAAGGCTCAAAGTGTGTATTTGAATTATAGGCCACCACCTAGGGCTTATAGTATTTGAAATTTGTCGCATTTTGAAATATTTCATGTAGAAATTGAGAAGTGTTGTTCCTTTTGTTTTGTTTTTTTTTTTTTTTTTTTTTTTTTTGAAGGAATAGGGAACTTAATTAATCTTTTATTATACGTTTTAAGATGTAGACTAGCTGTAGGTTTTTTATTGTGATATTATGTGTTCCTAAATATCCGGTATTTCTGGATCGGTTTTGTCTTATTATGGATTTTTACTATTGGTATATCGAATCATATAGGATCCATCCAGTTATGTTTTAAGTTGATCACAAATTGTTTAAAAATGTTACATGGCTGAATTGGATAGATTTTAAATTATAATGTTAAATAGTGAAAATATGTTTTCATTTCTTGAATTTAACCTTTTTTTTTTTTTTTTCTTTTAGTAGCAGAATTTTATTACGAAACTAGGAAGAGGTTTGAAAATTACATAGAGATAGCTAGAAGTGGATTTCGAAACCACTCAACACAACTAACTTTAATCTTATTATTCATAATATATACAAATAAATTATAAGAAAAACCAACTATGTTGTCAAAAGAGTAAAGCTTTAACAGGCGTTTGAATCTCCAAATAACACACCATTTCATTATCTCCACATCACCCATAACGCCGTATGAATACCGATTCCGACCTTCTTTCTTACACATATTAATCGTAACAACATCAAGCTAAAAAAGATCATGTAAAGTATCCATACCCTGTAACACAACATCCACCCAATGAAAAACTCTTTGCCATATGGGCAGTGGTGGATCCAAGATTTTAATAGGTTGGGGGCATTAAAAAAAATCAAATATAATTTTCGGGTCGGGTCAAAATGGTTTTAAACACAGGTAACAAAAAAATGTTAAACTATAAATAAATAGGTATGCGAGTTTGGGGCCCATTGGTTATTTTGTATGCTATTATCTGCTATGCTTATAATATCTGTATGTTAATGGGGTCCATTATGTGAGCTTGGTTCGGGCCTGTTATACTTAGTAGGCGAGGTCCTCTGTATGCTATTATCTGCTATGCTTATGATATCTGTATGTTGACGGGGCCCGTTATGCGAGTTTGGTCCGGGCTTGTTATACTTAGTAGGCGATGCCCGCTATCCTCAGTGGGCAGGGCCTGCTATGCGAGTGAAGGTGGGGCCCGTTACACTCATTGGATGGGGCCTATTATGTGTTTATTTATGTATGATATGTGATATTTTGGGGAACTCACTAAGCTTTGGAATTTTCAGTTTATGTTTTAGGTACTTCCAGATCCAAAGGGAAGAGCCCTGGATGATTATAGAGTACACACCATATTTTTCCGCATTTTGAGATTTACTCTGATATGTCTTGATGTATTGACATACTTTGATCTTTTAGGGTTGTATTTGGATTAATATTTTTATTAAATGAAAAATGAAGTTTTTGGATCTTATTTTTGGGACGTTAGAAGTTGATATCAGAGCCTTGATTTGAGGGATTAAGAGATACGTTCGGGTGTGTCTGAACTCACACTGAGGATTTGGTAAAGTTTTTCAAAAAGAAATGTATATTTAAGAAAATGTTTTTCTAATACAATAAAGGGTGTGATGCATGCAATCAACCGAGCTCAAGTAAGTTTTTTCAAAATACCCATACATGTTATCTGATATGATTTGATCCATAAATATGTGAATCGCCTGCTAGTTAGGGCTAAGGATCTGCTTAACATTTCCATGAAAGAATCTAGAAGAGATGCCTTTGTATGCCTATTGTATAAGCTTGTAGACTTGCATGCTAGTATTGATCAGTCAGTGATAGAATGGATTAGTTAGGTGATACTTGGTTCTGATTACTTGTTGCTCGACTCTTGTTTGAGTCCAACCATTGCAGTGACCTCTTATTCGAAGAATTATCTTTTTTTGGTGACATGTAATTGTATTCTTGAGCTAGTTAGAGGAAGTTAGCGGGAGTTCTTCTGTAGCTGATGGCGGAGAGTGGTGTACAGTTTGCTCAAGGAAAACCTAGGTTGAGATCTAGTGCTGGAAGCGTTATCTTGATGATGTTTAATTGTATGGATATAAGATGACATGGCGGATTCAAGGCAAGACTTGAGGAAAGTATGGAAGGCCCATTATGTGTTTATTTATGTATGTGAAGTGGTATTTTGGGGAACCCACTAAGCTTTGGGCATACAGTTTTCAGTTTTTGTTTTAGGTACTTCCGAATCGAAAGGGAAGAGCCGTGGATGATTGTAGAGCACACACCATCTTTTTCTGCATTATGAGATTTACTCTGATATGCTTTGATGTATTGGCATACATAGATCTTTTTAGGTTGTCTGACAATGTTTGGATTAATGTTTTTATCAAATCAAAAATGAAAATTTTGGATCTTACTTTTGGGACGTTACAAGTTGGTATCAGAGCCTTAGTTTGAGGGATTTGAACATACCTTCGGGTGTGTCTGAATTCAAACTGAGGATTTGGTAAAGTTTTTCAAAAAGAAATGTATTTTTTAAGAAAAAAGTATTTTCTAAGACAAGAAAAGGTGTGGTGCATGTAATCAACCGAGCTTAAGTAATTTTTCCCAAAATACTCATACATGTTATCTGATATGATTTGACCCGTAAATCCGTTAAACGCATGCAAGTTAGGGTTAAGGATCTGCTAAATATTTGCATGATAGAATGCTAGGAGAGTTGCCTTTGAATGCCTATTGTATTAGCTTGTAGACTTTCATGTGAGTACTGGTCAGTCAATGATAGGATGGCTTGGTTAGGTAACGCTTGGTTCTGATGCTTGAATGCTGCTTGCTTTATGTTTTTAGGAGCTCTCACTAGCTTTAGGTAACTAGTAAGCGATTATGCAAAGTTACATATTATGGGAACTAAATAATTTTAGAAGGTTCGGTTTTAAATCTATTGCGCAACTCTGGTTTGAGTCAAACCGTTGTAGTGTGAGACCTCTCACTTGAAGATTTATCTAGTTTTGGTGATATGTAATTGTATTTGTGAGCTAGTTAGAGGAAGTTAACGAGAGTTCCTTATGCAACTGATGGTGGAAAGTGGTATGAAGTTTGACTTACGAAAACTTGGGATGAGATGTAGTGATGGGAGCCTTATCTTTATGAGGGGTAATTGTATGGATATTGTCACACCCCGAAAACCTAAGGCAGAAACATTTCCGGGGCGAACTCCACATTGAGTATCAAATCCAATGTACATAGTAAGCAAAGTAAACAACCATTACATTACATATTCGAATTTACATTTGTTCAAAAGTAAAGTGTTACAGGTGTTATACGTATATCATATGAACAAAAGTTAAGATGAGTCTTCTGTACGCTCCATCTTCTCCAAAAGGATCGTTGGGTACCTGTCTAATATGGACTTGAGAATACAAGCAGTTTGAAAATTAGCATAAAGCTGGTGAGTTCATAAGATGTTAGTTTTCTGAAAATGTACAAGATCTCTTTGGTTTTCCGAAAAAGTTTGGTATCCAAGAAAATCCCATATTTTCTTATTTGTAGAGTTTGATTAACTGTTTTATTACACGGATCTGTTTATGTTCAGTTGTTATCCCAGAAAAATCCTATATTTTCCTAAAAGTAAGTTTAGTTATTGAATCCCAATGTAATGTTCGATTATCTATCATACTTGTCATATTAGCTAGGTATTCTGATATCCTAATTGTGTTATGCTTGAATGTACCTAGATGCGTGCCTTCGTATTCGTATTCCTATTCTTAATGATATTCATACTCATATTTTATATTTGTATTCGTATTCATATTTGTGTTCCTATTTGTATTCGTATTCGTATTATTCGTATTCATATTTGTGTTCTTATTCGTATTTGTATTCGCACTCGTATTCGTATTCCTAGTCCTATTCCTAATCCTATTAGTATTCGTATTCGTATTTACATTCATATTCACATTCATATTCGTATCCCTATTCCTATTCCTAATCCTATTCGTATTCGTATTTGTATTCGCATTCGTATTCGTATTCCTAGTTATACTTTCGTATTCGTTATGTTCCTAGTTGTACTTTCGTATTCGTTATGTTCCTAGTTGTACTTCCGTATTCGTATTCGTATTAGTTCTAATTGATGATTAGTATTAATTATTCGTAAATTCTGAAATATAGATTGTAACACTTTATCAAGTAATCTATGATTAGTTTGAAGGCTAACTTCATAATTCGAACTATTTGATTAACACAGTTTTCGATATTAAAAAAATACAGATTATAGACATTTGAACTGAAAATAATAAGTTTGAGTACAAGATTTCCTTGTACTTTTGCTTATATTCCCCCTGAAAACTTTTGAAAAACATTTGAAAAAGGGTAGAGGTGTGAACTCACCAATCGCGGAATGTGTCGGTTTGGATGCTAAACGTCAGTTCAAGGCTTGAAAACGAGTGAGGTTCCTATGTAATGTGAAAAGATATACAATGGTATCTAATTAGACTTTAAATCACTAATTAGATATGATTATACACTCCAAGACGCGAAAACACTTCGAATCAAGTGTTCGGAGTGACCTAGGTGACATCTAAGGATGTGTAGGACCCATGTATGGAGTTTACTCTTCAAGAGTAAACTCCTTGAGGAGTTCACGGTCCATTGACTATATCCCCATGAGTTTACGGCCGTAAACTCATGGGTGGTGGGTTCTTGGATGCCAAATGGTCATACAATGCACACGGGAAGGTTCTAGGATTGATTCCATGGCTTAGGAAGTGATTGGGACTCTAAATGACCTTGGATAAGAGTTTACGGTGTATGAAGATGTTCTTTGGGAGTTTACTACCTTAAACATGAGTTTGCTACCTTAAACACGAGTTTACTACCTTAAACACGTGTTTGTCCATGATTGATGAGTTTTAGTGGTTGAAAGTTAAGCATACTAAGTTCTAGACCCATTTCTAAGCCATACAAGGTGTTAAGGGCACTTTAACACCCATAGAATGAGTTTAAGGTCTAAGGAGATGAGTTTATGGTCTAAGAATGTTCTTGGACCGTAAACTCAAGCTTGTCCCATTTGAATAAGTTTTGGTGCATTTCTTGAAGGATTA